TTTTCATAAGAGACGATGTTTCACCAAATCTTGTGTTCTAAATATTTAAGAAAACTTGAATGAATGAATGATTATTGTTGGTTTCTAAATATCGTTCTCCTAATTATTTTATTACTTTGAAATATTGTGGGTTTTGAAATCTAATGTTTGTTTTGTGAATCTCTGAAACTTATAAACTGCGCAAATCGATTTTTCAGGTTTTGATGGATAAATTATGGATGAACAAACCACGATTATCTCAAGATTACATACTATGAGTCAAAATTTTCTTGGATTTTGCATTTGGTAAATCAAATGCACGCATGATGAAATGTCCATGTTATCGTTATTGTCTAACAAAAATTAAGTCAAGAGAAGACTTTGAAGGTGATTTGATGTGTTTCAGCTTTTTAAGTACTTATACATGTTGGTTACTACATGGAGAGGATATACCAAATCCAGCTTTTACAAATATACCAAATCCGCCTAATCCTTTGGTAATGGTATTTACATTTAATGGATGTTGGTGCTAATGGATATATTAAGATGATAAATTAACTTGTTATATGGTTTTAATCAGGAAATGGATGATGCTGCTTATTAGTTTGTGGGCTTAAGTCATCTCAGGCCCAATTCAAAATTATGGTGTCGGCCTAACTTCTCTTGATTTCTATTTTGCTATAGAAGTCGGTCTTACAAGAAAAAGGAAAGTAAGAAGAGAACAAGCAATGTCAATTGTAAAAAGGAAATACATAGGCACATGCTTGGCTACATAAAGAAGACATCTAAAGTACAATCCGAAGGTAGAGAGAAAGAGGTTACAAAGAGAGCACAAAAGGAGATAGAGAGCAATTGTGGTTAAGAGAGAAAAGACAAGAGGGAATCCAAGAGACAACCATAAAAAGAGTTCGAGTCTTCTTAGTTGTGGTTGTGATTCAAGTTGTCTTCTTCTTCTTTTGCTCTATTCTGTGATTTGTACCTAAGACACAAAGAGAACGCAAGTCAGCGTTTGTGTAAACCGTTGATTGATAGTGAAGTTGTGGGAGACGGTTCCCACCCCAGAGGTATCTAAAGGGAACTGGGTGAAAAGTTTCTTGTATATTTTAAGTTTTGCTTAATTCATCTCAAACTAGTTAAGATCAAAGCACTAAATCCGGGTTGAAATCCTAACACTGCTAATGGATATCGAAACGCTTAGGATATGGATAATGGTGCCAATGGATATACAACTACGAGTTGAAACCATGCAGCTAGTCATCATGATCAAAATTAGTTTAGCAAATGCATAAAAATAAATAAACTAAAATTGCTAAACTAATTAGTAATCTTATTTATTTTTCGTATTTAATTAGTTATATTTTTGGAATTTTTAAAAACAATATTAAACAAAAATAATATTCTCATCGATTACGAACAAGTGATACTAATATTTTAAATCGGTTATTGTAAATGATACAAGAATTAAAACCACTTATTGACACTAAATTTAGCATCAAATATTTGAAAATGATAGAAACAGGGAAAACGGTTATTTTAATACCGAACTATCCGTTTGAGCCAAAATAAGTACCAACTTTTTAATGAGTA